GTGGCGAGCAGGCTCGTCGGCCTCGACGAGTGGGGCGCCCTGGGCGGCGCGGGGCATCATGGGCATCGCCGAAGAGGCCGAGGCGCGGAATGACAGGGACGGCGACGGTTCGAGTGCAGCAGGATCGACGAGCCACCGGACGGCGCTGATCGAGCACGCTACGCTCGCACCTGCGTTTGGTCGGCCAAACAAACACCGCGAAGGTGGATCGCGCGGACGTATCGCCTCTCCATCGAGTACCGAAGGTGCGTTGGAGGGGCGCGGAGTGACGTCGGCGCCTGCATCGCAGACTCGGTCCGAGGGCATTGCCATCCGCGTGTCGCGCCCGCTGCGCTCCGAGTTGGTGGACACGGCCGTGTCGAATCCCTTCTCGCAGTCGCCCGGGCCGGCGTCGCTGCCGACGGGTCGGGACGGCTTGGGAACGCTCGGACGCAGTGGGCAGCGCAAGTCGAGTCTGAACATCACCACGACTGCTGCTGCGGCGGCGCCTAGCGTGCAGCGGTGGCCTGTGGGTAGCGACGGCGCGGCCAAGCGCAGCGCATCGTCGGCGTCTACGGCGTCGAATGCCGGTGGCGGGATCAGGATCAACGGGCGCAGTATCCTGGTCGATACGCTGTCGATGGGGCGGCATCAGCGGCAGACGTCGGCGTCGTCCGCGGCGGTGGCTGCGACGTCGGCGGTTACGGCGCATGCGGTGCCGGGTGCATTCCCGTCGTCGTTTTCGTCGTCTGGCTCGCTCGCTGGACCGCTGTCGCCGCAGCTGGCAGCGCCGGCCCTGCCCGCAGCGGAGGATGCAGCTGCGTCACCTCAAAAGCCAAGCCGGTCGTTTTTCAGCCAGACGCTTGGGCGGCTGAGTGGTGTCGCGGCGCAGACGGTGGGTCCGCCGTTTGCGCCCGCGGGCGACACAGCCAGGGAGGCGAGGAGGCCGCAGCGGCCGTCGCTGTTTGCGGCCGTCGCGCCGTTCGATGAGCAGCAGCCGCAGCAGCGGGCGCAGGGCGCCGAGGGCGGCGCGTCGGGCTTCTCGAATGCGTCCGCATCGAGCGCCGAGGGCCTGCTCAAGCGGGTTAGTGGTTCGGCTCAGCGGTAGCTCAAAGGGGTGCGGTAGGAATGGCAGCTGTGATGTGCAGATTGGTGTGGCGAGTGCAGGTGTGAAGCGAGGGTCAGTAGCGTGGGCAATGTTGGCAGCTCGCAGGCAAGCAATCTGACGAGCTACAAACAATGCAAGGAAGTCGTTGCATTTGCGATGTGCAGCTCGTTTGCGTGATTGAGGAGTGCGATTCGTGATGCGAGGGTGAGCAGCGTGGGTCTGGCAGCTCCAACAAGGTGTTCTAGAGACGCATCGGCAATGTTGGTAGCTCACAGGTGAGCGGTATGCCGTTCCAGTGTGCTGAATGCGGGGCCATTGAACAAAGGCACGGGTAAGTGGCAAGCAGAGCAGGTTTGTGGTCGCATTATTGCTGAAGCTGAAGCTGAAGTGGTGGCGCGGGCTCGTTTTTGGGGGTGGCTTTGGCATGGATGCTCGGCGGGGTGTTCAGTGGCGAGGTGTAGGGTTTGCTAGCAACGACGCGCGAGTCCTCACGTCGACGTAGCATTCACCGTGGCGAGGATGGGACTTCTGCGTGAATCGCCGCGATGGGCACGCCAAAGCCTCGAAAGTGCGGCAGGCGCGCACGCTTGTGTCTGCAAGCAATTGCTCGGATGCTCAGTTGAGGCTGACAATCACAACGGCGAACAGGATTTGGGGCTCGACGTCGCCACTGCTGGTGAGCCATGATTTGCAGTGCGAATACCTGCCTCACGTTTCCGCAAGATACTCCCGCTCAGAGGCTGCTGTTTGTAGCCGTCGAATGGCATGCGGCTGGGTGGATCCGATTCCCAGCGCGGCTACTCCGACAGCCGCGGCGGCACATCCGGATGGAACTTGCGCCAAGGTGGCTCTCTGGGCGCGCCTTGACAGCTGCGACTGCGCGGGCCAGTGCGCCGTGGGGGATGATGCTATAGCGAGAGGCTGGATTGCGAGCACGGAACCGAGAAATCTAATGTACAAAAGAGCAATGATCAAAGCTAGACAGCAAGGGCGACCTGGTCGCTGAGGGTCTGCACCTGTTTATGCAGCGCAGCATAGTCCTCGGTGTAGTCCTCCTTGGGCTTTGTTGCCTCCTTGCCCTTTGCGGCCGCCTTCTTTCCTCCACCGGGGACGATCATGACGCAGCTGGTTGGACGCTTGGTCGCGCTGGCCGAACCGAGGGCCTCCTTGGAACGCACAAAGATGTACGGGTTCGACGTATCCTCGCACAGCACCGGGATATGGCTGAGAATATCAATCGGGCTGATGTCACCCGCGAGAACGACGAGACCCTTTTCACCCTTGCGCAGGGCTTTGACGACCTCCTTGACACCGCGCTTGACGTGGCCGCGCGACTTGGACGCCTTCTTGGTGAGCTTGAACAGCTTCTTGGCCACCTTGGGCTGAGCTAGCGGCTGTGCGATCGGCGAAATCTCGAGCGTATCCTCGGCCGACGAATCGTCCGACTCGTCACCATCGTCGTGCTTGGGCTTCTTGTCCTTCTTGGACTTTTTCGAGGGCGTAGCGGAGAGATCGACGGAAGCGTCAACGTCCATGGCAGCCACTTCGGACTTGCGCTTCGACTTCTTCTCCTTCTTTGCCTCGTCCTTGGCCATTGTGAAAGTAGCGACGGGTGGGGTGGGATGGAGAGGTGGGTGGGGGTTGGATTGGTGGAGGTTGGGATGGTGATCACGAGGCTCTGCAGAAGAAGAAAAATGCGTCGAGAAGCCTCGCCGGCAGCTGCAGAGCTCAAATTTCGAGCGAGCGGCTGCGAAAAAAAGTCTTTTTGCGCCCTCGCCTCCGCCGCTCGAATTTTTCGTCACAGCATATCAAACGCGCGGCCTAACACTGTTGAGATTCGCCAATGCTTGCTGCCTCCTCGATCACGAGACTCGAAAAGTCTTTCTTCCGCTGTTTCTTGGATTTCGTGCTGCAGAGCCGCTGGCCAGCCGCAGTTTTTTTTCTCTCTCTGCAGTCTTTCTTCGCGCCGCGCACTGCGCTCCGCTGGGAAGGGCAAAAGAAAGACAAAGCCAGGCACGGCTCTCCCTGCTCCCTCCTGCTCCACCACCATCGCGCACCTCGTCGCGCCCGCAACATGGTCACCCAGTCGCCCGCGGGTCGGCGCCATCATCCCTTCCCAACGCACACCACTTGTAAGTTGGCACACACACCGGCGCAGAGGCGCGCGGCTTGGAAGGATTACAACTATACCACGCATGATGCCCGTGATTGCGTACACAATCAGAAATTTTTATACACGAATCAGATGATCAGCCAGCCGCCTCGCCGTCAGTTTTGCTCAGAAAAAGGAAGAGACAATTGACGCTCGTCTTGTTCCTCTTCGTAGAAACGTGGCTCGTTACATCCTCTCGCCCAGGGCACCCAAAAACACCTCGCTGTGAGAAGGTACGCAACCGTGGCCCGCTCCGATCGCAGGCACCGCTGGCAGTTGCACGCACGACGACAAGAGGATGCTATAGCATTTACAAACTAGAGTCTCGCGGTCTTGGTTCGCGTTAACTTGCATCAGCTTACTGATTCTCGTCGTGCGGCAAAGCCACGAGGTGCTCGGCGATCGAACCATCCAGCCTGGTCGAACACCACAGCTGACAGTCCTCATGCCTTGTCTACCTGTAGGATCCTTTCGAGTGCGAACCATCATGGTAGGCCCAGTGTCGCCCTCGCCGCTCTTGGCAGCCATTAGGGCTCCTGCAGTGCCACGCTTGCCGCTCCGCACAGCCCCTGCGCTGTCGCGATCGCTGGCTACGGTTCCGCCTCCACGCTCACCCTCGAGCTCCAGCCCGGCTCCCAAGTTTATGGTAAGTTGCGATGCGCATCTCCCCCTGCCCTCTTCTCCCCTTCCCCACTTCCACCTTGGTGATGGTCGCAGCCTCGCTGCTGGCCATTGCTTTGGCGCCGGTGCACGTGGCGCGGTTGAGCCTCGGCTCGACCTGCGTCCCTAGCACAGTATCGTCTGATTGGGAGCGACATCCTTGATTGGAGGCCGCGAGCCTGCCTTCGCGGGCGGGCGAGTGGACATGTAAACAACGCGACAACCCTGGCGGCGGCTGCCTAGATCCATGTGCCCTCGTCACCTCTTCGCCTGTGTGTGCACGCCCTCGGCGCTCGGCTGGGTCGCAAGACCCGGTCGAGCCCGTCGATGGCGTGCGCCGGGATGAATGTACTTGGGCTGGCACCCTAATTTCATAGCACTTGGAGTCAGGCACTATGTGCCCATGCTCGTTTGAGGCTACAACCTAGGGTCCTGGCTACATTCCCTCGCACTTTTTTTTTACTTTTTTGTTTCTGCGCTACCTGCGCACATCGACGCGGAAAGAGGGCTAACACTTTCGATCCTGCGTGTTGAACAGATCAAGAGGATGCCTCAGGCTTCGGTGCGCAGCAGCTACATGTTCAAGCGCAATCGCAACGACCCGTACTATGCGGTGCCCGAGTTCATCATGATCCTCAAGCCGTTCCAGCCCGACATGCGCGACAGCACGGGCAGGTTGGACGAGCGCAAGCTCGTGCCTTCGTGGCTGCCCATGCCGCCCCACCCGGCCACGCACGAGCGTCGCTACCTCCGTGCGCCATTCTACCCGCCCACGGCGCAGGCTGGGCGCAAGAATCGATTGGCCTCGCAAAATGCCGAGGCTGCGTGGCCGGGACCCTACGACGCCAGCCCTGGTGACAGTGGCAAGTGGGAGTCGGCGGCTGCGCCCATAGTGTCGGCCGAGATTCGACCCGTGCTGCGCGTGCTGGTGTCGAGCAGCGTGCGGCGCGTGCACAAGCTGGCGGTGATCCGCAACCGCGTGCGCACGCGCGTCACCGAGGCGATCCGCATCGCCGTCGCGCACATGGAGCAGCGCGGCACGGACATCGACAAGATGCTCGACCCCCGGAGCAACCTGCTGCTGGTCTTCGCCGGCGCGGCGGCGCACAGCAAGCCGATGGACGAGCTGGCGCAAGAGATGCGCGACGGGCTGCGATTCCTCGCCGCCGTCGCGGACGGAAGCATCGATGCCAAGGCGCAGCGCAAGCACATCAACATCAGCGCCGAGCGCAACCGTGCCGTCCAGCTGGGATTGTAGGAAAGGTATGTACTTGCAGACAGGAAGAGGGGAGGGAGCAGCGGCGAAGATTACTTCTGTATCATCCCTTCGGGGAGATGCTGGAAATTACCGTCCGACTTTGCTTCGTGAGGACAATAATATGGCTGATTAATGAGCCCACTCGCTCCCACCCCTATCCTTGTTGATACTGGACGAGCCAGGAGCTGACGCTGCGTTGATGCTCTGCATTTCAAACAGCCACCTTCAAAGCTACAAGGCAGACTGCGACGATGATGGAGAAGGCGAAGAAGTTGGTCCTCAGGTATGTTGGCATTGGTTGCAGCTGGCTGGCGAGGGCGAGGGGGCACGGATTGCATGATGAGTTTCAACCATATCACGACGGTCTTCGTACACAACCATGGCGAATCCGCCCTGCCACTAAACCCATTTTTCAGGGCACCCATACTGAACATCCGCGCCCCACCCTGCCAAGCCAGCTTGACGCGCGCACGCCAAACATGGCTCGAGATGGGAAAGAACGAGTGCTGACTTTTGTTTGCATTCGGCGTCTGATCAGATTTTATACCCCTTTGCATGCAATGATACCCCGTTTTGCTATCGCCCCAGACGGTCTTGTTCGAGCCAAAGTGTGTGATTGCAGTGTGCGCGCGCGGGATGGGAACTAGAGGTTGGAGTGGACGGGAGCGTTTTTGGCGTCGTTGGGGACGCTGATGAGCCACGGCATGGTGAAGGCATTCAGTCTTCGCAACGGCCAGCCGAGTTTGCCGTTCATCTCCTTGTGGCCCCACCTGTCCTCGAACCTGGTGACCCTGTTCTTGCCGTCTCGTTCGATTACGACTGTGGACTTCATATCCTTGACGGTGCCCAAACCTTTGACCTTGTACCTCTGAAGCTGAACGTACTCTACGACGGCAGCATCTTGTCGGGTGAGCTTCCAGGCTTTGGTTTCCGAGAGGCTGAAGGCGGCGGGCATGCCGTACCACTGGGCCATGTACTGCTTGGCGCCTACGGCGTGGCAGATGGGATCGGCAAAGATCGCGTCGGCACTCCAGCGCGCAAAGATCGCTGCGCTCGGTCGTGCGCCGAACAGATCCATACTATCGCGGATGATCTGCGCCGTTTCGGGCGTGGGTTCGATCAGCGGTGTTGCAGCGAAGCCCTCGAAGTCGGCCGTCTGAGCCGGCAGCGATGCGGAGGCAGACATGGCTACAGCAGGATGTCCGATACGAAAGTGTCGTTGCGACGCAGGGATTCCTGGCTGCACGGGGGTTGCGAGTACGGCTCGAGGGATGAGCGCCGATGAGAACAGAGCCGGCGTGAGCGCGAGAGTTGGACGCAGCGACAGTGCGGCGCGTGCAGGTGCGGCGGTGAGCGAGAGCGCAAGCAGAGAGAGAAGCGGGGCGAACACGGCGAGTGGCGAACGAGGCGATGGAGTGCTCCAAAGTCGCATCGTATGACGGTGCGCAGATGGATGGATGTAGTTGCTGAGCAAGATGAGTCGTTGAGCGCAAGTATTGCTGTGTGAGAGGCAGGTTGATATAGGGCAGCGTCCGCATGAAGGCATGAGTGTGCCTCCACACGTTGAGAGCGCCAAAGGCGCCGCCTCTCACGTCAGCCTCGGCGACAGCGGTGACGCCGTTCCGCGGAGGATTCGATTTTCATAACCATGTTACGTCGAAAAAGGCAGACAAGGTTGCGCAGGAAAGACGACTCTCGTGCGGCTGGAAGGAGTGCATCCTCCGGCCGATTCGACTTTTTTGCATGCGCCCTTCAACCCGTAACTCCACCCTATCCTCCTCCCCCATCTTCCATTCCATCTCTGCACCGCTGCGAACATGGCATCGGCACGCACACTCTCACGCAGCCTGTTGCGCGCACGCGCATTCTCCTCCTCCGCCCCCACGTCCTCGTCGTCGTCATGGACGCCCGTTCTGAAGCCCGGCACGCTCCCCGCGTACGATGAGGCGCTTGCCTTGCTCTCTTCGCACGCCGACTCGGTCCGCTCCAAAGCCGAATCCCTCGACAGCACGCACGCCAGCCTCTCCGCCGAGGACAGAGCCGCGCTGAAGGAGTCGCTCGAGGTGGCGGCGCGCATCAACGACCCTGCGACACTGGCGCGCTTTGCGGCGTCGCAGCCGACGAGGTACGATGCGGCGGATCCGGTTCTGCGCTACCTGCGCGAGCGCGTGTGGCGCAACGACTCGGGCGTCCTCGCCAAGCTCATGCAGCGCTGTACGCTCATGCATGTTTTCCCGGACGTCCTTCCCGGCATCACACCCACCGCGGACGTGCAGGTTGCCTTTGGCACGGGCGCTGGATTCACCGACCACACTGCCGAGGGTGGCGATGTGCTCGCCGGAGTTTTCGTGCCCGTACAAAAGACGGTCGAGCCCCCAACGGTGGCGGTGAACGTATTCCATACCGACAAGAGGCTGTATACCGTAGCACTCGTGGATCCGGACCAGCCGAACGAGGAGAACCAGAGCTACACCACACGTCTGCTGGCGCTCAAGACCAACGTCGAGCTGTCGGCGGCAGAGTGCAGTGTGGATATGACGAGCGATATGGTGGCCGAGTACATCCCACCGCATCCGCAGCAGGGAACCAAGTACCACCGCTACACCACCGTGCTCCTCGCACAATCCGACCGCATCACCGTCCAAGCGCAGAGGGACGCATTCGACCTACCGGCTTTCGCGCACGCCAATCGGCTCACCCCAGCAGGCATCCACTTCTGGCGCGCAAAGTGGTCCGAGGCAGACGCCGAGACCGTCTCGATGATCCACCGCGATATCCTGAGTAAGTTTTTACCCCCCACCCCCCGCACGCAGGCAAGAAAGCGCGACTGACATCTTTGTGCCGTGCGCATCAGAACAAGACGAACCGCGATACACACGTCCACCCACGCTCGACAAGGTGCGCAAGCAGATCGGCGACATTGGCTCAAAGTGGTTCTAACCCTCTCCACCCGCCAAGTTGGACTCGCACGCTCTGAATCCACGATTTGTGAACCAGCTCCCGTGTAATCACACGCCATCTTGGGCAGAGCGACATGGGCATGCATGAAATTGAGGCAGAGGCAATGTTTGAGAAGCGAGTGCGATTTAGGTCCACAGGCCGTACTTCTTGGACGGCCAAGTCTGCCACAGCCTGATCGTACCGTCTTCCGAACCGCTGGCGGCGAGCTCGCCGTCGGGGCTGTAGCTGACCGCATGAGCTGGTCCATGGTGGCCCTTGTGCAGTTCGCGCTCTTGGGCGGTCTCGTAGTCAAAGATGCGCACCCATCCGTCGGCGCTACTACCTGCCACGAAGCGGTCCGCCAGCGTCGGGTGGAGCGATGCGCTCGAAACCGGCACTGCCAGTGTATGCTTCTTGCGCACCGCGCGCGTGGCGGCATCGATAAAGTACACATCCTTCCCACTCGTCACCGTCAAGAGCTCGCCTGCACTGCCCGCACTGCGCTCCATTGAGGAAATCGGCTCCGAAAAGCTCATCTCGTGCGCGCACTGCAGAGTACGCACGTCCCACCAACGCATCACCTTATCCTCCCCCGCCGACACCACCACGTTCTCCGCACCCGCGCGGTGCCAAACACTGCTCTTGATCACTCCCTCGTGCGCAACCGGCTTGTCGGCAGACGCGCCACGCATGATGAATTCGTCCGCAACAGCATCGGGCCGTTGCAGATCAAACAGTCGCAGCTTCTTTTCGTGCCCCGCCGTAACCACGCGCGTGCCCGGCGCATTGATCGCGACGGTGCGCACAATGTGATTGTGCGGAAACGTGTGCAGACAGTCGCCGGTGAACGTGTCCCACACCTTGGCCGAAAAGTCGGCCGATCCCGTAACCGCCACCGAGGCATCGCCGCCCGACAGCTTGCCGCACCACACGGCGCCCTTGTGGCCCAGGAAGGTGCCTACCCAGTCGCCGAGCCAGTCGCGCAGCATGGGGTTGCCGTCCTTGCACGACGACAAAAGCGAGTAGGTGCCGTCATCTTGCAGCTCCGAGAATTCAAGGTGCACCACCGGCCGCGTGTGGCCAGAACATGTGAGTGGCACCGACTGTCGAAAGGAGAAAGCGAGGCGTCAGTCTGGGCTGTCGAGAATGCTGCGATCAGGCCGAGGCTGGACTTACTTTTTGGACGGGTGTGGAAGTCATGCTGAGGCACTGTGTCGAAGGGATGACTGCGGTCCTACAAGTGCGACGATGCTGTTGCTGAGCGATGCTGATTTTGAAGAAGACGCTGATGGTCCTTCGATATTGTTCGTGTGCCAATGCTCGATGGTGTTGGATTCTGGCAGCGGGCCAATGCAGCAAGATTGAAGCGGATATCTGCCGTGTCGATCGCTCAACGTTGGAGCTTCGGTTTGGGGTGCGAGCGAGGGGTCGTGACCGAACGTGGGTATATCGCAAAGCGCGTCGATGGAGGAGGGAGGCCGAGCACAGATGGCTCTAGGTGTAGGTATGCACGACTACGCCAAAGCAAGTTGCCGTCGCGAAGGGGCTGTGATCACCGATCAAAGAGGCGACGCTGATGGCTTTGTCGTGGCAGGAATGTGCTGCTTGAGCTGGCGCACGTATGTGCGTGTTCGTTGTATAGAAGACGAGGCCTAGGCGTCGCTTGCTCCGCGCGATTTGGTGTGTCTCAATGTCGTTGCGAAGATTTGGATCCAGAGGTGTGCCGAAGTCGAGCCAAGTGATAATGCGCGTGATGGTGATGATCTGCGTAAACGGGGCCGGCGATGTGGCAGAGGGCCGCAGATGCGAAGCGAATGAGATGGACGAGGTCCGGCAGGGAGGAGGGGCAAAGCTGCGAATCGCAGTGTTGGTTTGTTGGAGAGAGAGAGACACGTGAGTGGGCCGCATCCTCAAACTCACCGCCGCCCTTCATGGCTACACAGAGCGCGCGCGCGAGAGAGAGAGAGAGAGA